TTACATTCCATCGATGCTAATTATTGCAAACATGCAGTTGTTTTATAAAATTTACTGATGAAACACTGGATTTAAGCGATGAAATAAACTGCTGAATTGTAATTATATTCATATCATTAAGATATTACATTCATATCATTAAATTTAGATGTTGAACTAACATCATTATGTGATCTTTGTGTTGAACGTATCTTGCTTTAATAAGTTAACCTTTCTTGGTATCTGAATCCTATTTTCTCACATGCATATAAGTTAAATTGTCTAGCTTGATTCTTTTTAATTATAGTTCATATACGCACACAATTCGTATCTTAAAGAGCAAACTCCAAATCATTTTCATAATATATTTGACGAACATTCCATGGAAGACCTCGGACATTCTCAATACAAACAGACACCTGAATCTCACTACTCGAGAAGAAACAAGTTATCGCTAGGCTACATCATCAGTCGATAACATCGGCAACCTTAACCTGCCTGAAGCAAATGTTACGTTCACGTTCACGATTTCCAATGTTTATCAATGAAAACTTTTAAGCCTCTTTCATTATCTTCTTTCATTTCCCATCATTTTCGCTGATAGTGAGAAAGTATTGTAATTTTCCGGGTATCCAAATTTTCTTCTTCGGCAGAAACAAATCACATATACAAAAATGAAAAGCCATTTAAAATGTCACCATCAAGAAATTCCGAAAAATGTCTGTGCTTGGGGCTCAGAAATTTATTTCTTTTACCAATTATAACTAAACTTCAAGCCCATCATTCCATTTTTCACTCATCGTCCAGCAAGAAATTCACTACAAAGATTTCCGCCCCACTAATTCGCTTTTCGTCCACGCTTCATAACTGGTTTCAACCGAGAAAATGTTACATACTGTGTGAACAAAAGCCTTAGGTATGACATTTGGCTGTTAATAAATTCATCGGTTCCCTGACATCTCGATTCACAAACACACACACACCATATGTACGAAGTTTTTCATCTTGATTTAGTCCATCACCACAACCGTAATATTAACTTGTAAAGCTAAGGATTTTGCAAAACTTCTTTAGTTCTTCCACGTCATTTTATGAATGCAACCAGCTAATATAGCTTACTTAATATAACTTATTTCAAAACCATAGACCTCAAATTTTTGCTCACTTCTGACTCTAATGCGATTTGCTTCCAAAAAATCTACCCCAGTAAATTTATTCACAAGCTCTCACATACCTTCCATGAAATCACCCATGTTTTATTTTCAAAGTATTCACAAATCATCACGCTTTTCTTGTTAAACAAAAAAAATACAAAAGATACCCAAAACATACAAAAGGAGAATTTTACATACTTGCGCAGAAGACCACAATGACGCAGAAAGATTTGCAAACGATAAGAACGGGCTAGTTTTCGGTTCAATGACGTCTTTTGGAATAATGTGATTCACGTTCGGATTCACACTAACACCAGAAACCGTAACGCGTCGTCGTGTAACTGTCACAGGTAATTTGGTCTCATTCACATGCATCAATGAATTTGTACACCTTCTTTAATACCCACCGTTTTCCTGAAATTAATGTTACGAACGAAGACTTAATTGTGTTGAATCTACCAACATGCATCAAAAAATATATATTTCAGGACAATGATGTCATGATAAGAAAACCATTATAAACGATTTTTTTGTAAATTCATTCAGTTTAAGTTGTTAGACTGAGCATAGCATCATCTTATTAACATTATACATTTGAGGGCCAATTATGTAATTTACAGTAAAATAAACATTTTTGAGCAACGAGGCCACGACTACAAAAATTAATTTGGTATGAATAAATAACTTCAACAAAAAGAATGATTGTCGAAAGACATGTTGGGAAAGTTAGCTTAAAACAATGATCAGGTCATAGATCAGGAAACAAATCAGACCAGAATGGGATTCAGTGAAGCTCCCGGGTCATCTGCCTCTCGTTACTCCGTCACTTTCAAGAACCAAAAAACATTCCAAATCCCAGCTGCTGACAATTTTCCTCTCACTCTTTGACTGACGTGGTAATTCGGGAATCCACGGCTGCGGCCGTGATTTTGATGATAAGAATGAGAATTAGGGGCGAAAGATATAACTAGAGGCGGAATGTACGAGAAGTGGATGTTGGATATGTCGGGAAATAAGGCTGAGGTATCGGAATACATTAATTCTGTGATTTGGTATTAATGATAACACTAACAGGCCGACAGCATTAAATTTAAGCGTGCAAATCTTTTTCGAATTTGACTGATTGTTTCTTTAGAAATTTCGATATCCGTTAGGTCTAGGCATATTTAATTGTAAAAACATATACGCAGTTTTCAGAATAAATTGGTCTTTCGTTAAAGATGCAAAGTGTTACGAGTGCTGTTTTCTTGCTGGTTTTAGTTACATTGATATTGGCCCACCAAGCGCCATCATTTCCGGGTCAGAATACACAGGAGCCAATAGAAGTAATCATATTTTGTCATGATACAACATCGAGAAGCTAAAAGATTTACAACTAAGTTATGTGCCATATATTCTGCCTCTCAGATAGGCTTTTTTTATTCAAAACTACGTAATTCAATTTTGATCAGTTCAGTTTTTCCCTTCTATAAGATTGAATTTTATTTTCTAAAGATGCACCATCAAGACCAAATGCATCAGAAACACACACCACCTCAGGGTGCTCGAGAGTTCGGAGGTGAACAAGCGAAGAATGCTGAGTACGTCATTAATTATCCCCTTTTCTTTTATACTAGAGAATTTGACAATGATTTTCATAATTTTAAAAGTTATCATATTTGAGGAATAGGTTTTTTCTTTAATGAACTTGTTCTCTGGTTTCCAAATTATTCTTCAAAAAATTTCAATGACAGGTTAGCTTTTAAACCTGTTATTGAAATTTGACATTGGCAGCTGTTCATTTTTGTCATGTTATGCCAATTCGGGCAATATTATTTTCTAATGAAATCAAGTCCACTTTTCGAATGGCTGAATTCGTGCGAAGAATTTTCTTGTCCTTTTCAATAACTACTAATGGGATAATTGATTAAATATTAGATAGAGGTAATTCTCAATCCGTGTGTATTTACTGAGGATAAACTCATGATTTTCACATCTTCAATGACTTGGCCTGTATTGATTTCTATTATATATAGTATTTGAAAATATAAAAGGAATTGGGACTGTTCAGTTCAGCTGTTATTTGTGTAATGAATTAAAAAAACTTTGTTTTGAAGTTAAACGAATATGAAAATGAATGAAGTTCTGTTTGCTAGATAGTTCCTTCGTTTCGGTGGTCGAAAATTGAATTGTTAAGTAATGAAGATCATTGTTTTTCGTATTCTATTATTTTTCCTAATTTCCATATAGGATCAGTTCTTATCTGTTTAGTAAAGAATTTGGATTGGGATTAAAGTGATTGAAATTAGATTAAATCAATTTCATCATTATCCACAAAGCACATGAAATTTTCTAAACATAGTTTTAATTCTAAGAATAGCGATGTGACAGTTGCAAGAAAGCGTTTATGGTTTTAAAAATTTTAAGCTGTTTTTGTCACTGATTGACATAGCGTTGTTATATTTGTTATCATGAATAAGTTCTATCGAATTACAGCATTCGATTAAATTTGGAAATTACCCATCATTCTTAAGCAAAAGTTATCACTATTTACATTTCCTAGGCATATTAATAAACATTTGAATGGTAAACGTGATCCGATTGCAAAAATGACACCCGAACAGTTGCAATTCCATTATTTCAATATGCACGATCTGGACAGTGATGAATCTCTGGATGGGATTGAATTAATTAAAGCAATCACACATTTTGATGAAGGTATTAGTTTTCTTTATCTGTAATATCACTCTACCTTATCTGTTCCATCACTTATTCAAAGAATTGGAATGAGGACATGATGAAACTGAATTTGATGTTTGAAGCTAATAAAAAAACGTGGGGGCTTTGTGGACTTTACTTGGTTTGCTATTAATTTTTGTTGGAATTCCAGAAAATCGGGATTCCCGACAAGGTTCAACTCAGTTGCCACCAGTAATAACGGAAATGGAAATTGAACGGATGTTGGATCCAATCTTTGATTCGGATGATATCAACCGAGATGGTTATATTAGTTATGCAGAATTTTCCATAGCTCAAAAGCAACGAGACGAGCAAATGAGGCTGCAATACCAGCAACAACAAAAGCAACAGCAACCTGCGCAGCAATGAGAAAAAATTGCTTGTGTCTTTATTATTTTCAGTCATAATTTGTAGCAAATTGATCACAGATGGTTGTGCAGATATCTGTTTTGCAGAAAGCTTGAAATATTTACAGAAGTTTTTTTATTGTCTTTCACCCGTTTGTCTCTTATCGGTAAGCCTACTTAAAGTGCTGCTATAGGAAGTTGGTCGGCAAAACAAATATTTATTCCTAGTGTTGTTACACGTCTAATTCCCTACTGTTGCCAAATGCATATTATTAACCAAATACTTACTTTACTCAATGAATTTTGTGCATGACATTATTTCAAAAACTGATTTTTTCTTCTTTGTTAGTGAATTAAAGTTTTCCAGAATATTCTCCATGCAAATGGTTGATGGAGAAACGCCACTTCAGTTTAAAAATAAGATAAAAACATTCTGTAGATTCATTTTTAAATACTGGAAATGGAATTACTTGACGAGTGATTGAAATGTCAAGGTTAAATTTATTCTGCTTTCGTTTTTTGCAATTGAATATTTTAAACTGAAACTTGTTATCTGAATTGAAATACATTCGATTAACGAACCGTCTTTAGTAATATCGAGAAAAAGTAATATCGAGTTTGTTGGACCTTTGAATAAGAGTTTTCTTGGAAATTTAGACATTTTGAAGACTGACTTTTTTTCATTTTTTTAATTGCTTGAATTTTATAATTGCTTATATTTATAGCAACCATATTGTGATCTTGTTTCGTTCACCAATAAAATAAAGTCCGTAAATAATTCTGTAAACATCGGGGTACGTTATGAGGAAACGTTGTCAGGATGAGGATAAGGTACGTGTCTAACGTAAATCCCGGAAAACTTTGAAGAAAGAAAGGAATTGTTGATGCCTCATGCCAATTCACAAACGGTGATGAATAGAGCGTTTTTTTGTAATTATTCTTCAAGAATTTGCATCAACCTAATATCCTTGCACTCCCGCGCCTATCATTTGCAGCTCTAATTTAATTGCAATGTCATAGTACTAGCTAATCACGATATTCATGAAGAGCATCACAGATGATTTTTGAATTCATTTTATAATGACCATCGTTTCACTGTCCATCACATGAAAGAGCCCGTCAAAAATGGATAAGGCTTGAGGATGTCAGCATCATAGCTACCTAAACTCCACTATTACGGAGAACAAAAAGTATTGCATTCTGCAGTTTTGCATCCTTCGACATCTTCATCCATTTCTTTGAACATTACTGCTGACACTTTTCCTGATACTTTTCCGCCTTTATACGGGCTAAATTCTTGCTATAGCTAGAGCTCTTCTTTCACGGATGAATTCAGATATATCATCGATAAGAAACGCGTCACATATCTAGCACTTACAGCTGTCACCACTAACCTCTTACCCACAACTACACTGGGAGACTGAAATTAACGGAGCTGTGAAATCATGATATATGTTATCGATTGATAAAGAGTAGTTTAATTGGATTAAATTCGTTTTACTTCATAGAATGGTTTTGTATTTGCCCTTGGATAATAGACAGTTTGCCCGTGATGTCGGGTACAGTAGAGGCAATAGAGTTATTGCTTAAAAACTGGCAGGCAGACCGTAGAATATTATTGATTTGATCCGCTCATTCAATTTCCAGTATATTCAAAATTTCAGACATGGCTAAATACGAAACTGTCAAATTAGCCACCGGTGCTGATTTACCGCTTTTTGGTTTGGGTACGTGGTTGGTAAGTCTTTTCATTCAGAATAAAAACTTATTCAAAATGAAGAGCTTGACCGGAAGTGATAAACCAACTAAGAATTGAAGCAACCATAAAAATGTCACAATCAAATGTCCAATGCAATGAATTGTTGCCGCTGTTTATTTAATCCATTATGTTTAAACGTGCTTTTAAATGGTTGTGTATGGCTTGCTTATTTAATTTTTATTATATTTAATTACGAATTTATTGTAGTATGTTCATTTTTGTTCTAGTTTCATGAAATTAAATATCATTTATGTCACTGTTAGTTTGATAAAGAGTTGTTGAGAATTAAATTCGATTTTAATTACGTTGTCATAATAAAATTAATTTGTGATAAGTTAACATTATTGTAATCAGTATTGTTTTGTAGTAATTTGCGATCTTGGATATCATCTTGATGAGATATACATTAAATAATTTACTTTAATGAAAAGTTTTAATTCAGGAATGAAGTTTCTTCAACGGATCCTTGAAATAGTAGGACAAGTTTCAAGGATAAATACGTCGTCTATAAATAATTTGATTAGTTTTAAGAAAATTCTGTATTCACAGTTATATATTACCACCCAATTATTTCAGTCCACCGATCCGGCAGCTTTAACAACAGCAGTGAAAACAGCTCTGGATGCTGGATATCCGTTAATCGACACTGCTTACGTTTACCGTAATGAAGCTGTCATTGGGAAAGTATTGCAAGAATATTTCGCTTCTGGTAAATTGAAACGAAAAGATATCTTTATCACAACAAAAGTAAGTTCTTATCACCTTAGTAATCGTATATTATCTATATTGACAAAGTTAGTAACATTTCCATTTCTCATTCAGTTCGGTATATTCGGCATCGCATCTAAGCTTTCGGAAAAACGCTTTGATTGCAATCAGTGAATCTTTCTGTCCAATTTCAAGAAAGTTTTTTTTTTTGGAATAAGGGAAACTTTGTTGAAATTTTTGATAGATCGGCGAAGCGATACCATTTTTTTCAAAATCCAATTTGTTTAACTAGAGGGATTTTAAATAACAATTTCTTTATCTCTTTTTTTTTCCTTTTACAGCTACCATTAATGGTGCACAGACCGGATGAGATCGAAGCGTTGGTGAAAAAACAGCTGGAACATTTGCACGTGGATTACTTTGATCTGTACCTTGTCCATTGTCCATGTCCATGCAAAGTATATATTTTCTTTTCAATTGCTGAAGCTGTTACTTATTATCTACGATTTAAAAGTTGGAAATCATAAGCCATAAGTTTAATGTTGTAAGCAGACGTCAGCATCAAAACATTTTTTGCCCGATAGGATACCAAAAAACATTCATCTTGTTTTATATTAGACAGTTCAAATACCTTGTTAGAAAAGTATTTGAAGTATTGAAGAATGGTGTTGAAGTAATGTTTTTTTCAGCATCGGCCTGGAGATATGCCGGATAACTACAAACTGCTATTGGAGGATGGACGTGTAGTTCCGGAGCTGATTGACCATATCGAAACCTGGAGTGTTCTGGAAAAGTTGTATAGAGCAGGAATACTGAAAGTACGTTTTGCTGGTGTTGTAATCCGAAATGTCATTAGTCAGTTTTTTTTTTTTCATGATTGATGAGATTTGTTTTCAACCTTTACGTAGTCTTATATAATCACATTTTCAGGCTATTGGATTATCTAACTTCAATGAGAAACAAATACAATATGTTCTCGACCATGCAACTGTGAAACCACATAATTTACAGGTGTGAATCTTTAGTGAATGACGGCTATGTAACAGGATTATTTATATTTTTTTAGGAGCTGATTTTGATGTTTTTAAGATATATGGCATGCTGAGAAGCGTTTTCTGAAATTATATAATTGAGATTTTGAATTTTATATGCAGGTGTTTGAATTTTTGAAATAGTTTTTCTTTTGCTTTCGTAGAATATTAGCTTTTGTGAGATCACTCGATATTCAGGTCGAGGCGCATCTTTATTGGCCGCAAAAAGAACTTCATGAATTCTGCAAAAAGAACAATATCACGATGACAAGCTATGCGACACTTGGATCACCGGGAAGAATAGCTTTTAATCCCGACTTTAGCTGGCCCACTGGTGAACCCATGAAGGATCCTTTGGTTTTACAACTGGCCGAGAAGTATAAGAAATCACCAGCTCAGGTATATGTATTCGTGAAATTCTCGAACTTTGGTTTTGTTTTGATGCATTCGAAAATTCATTTGTCATAAGGATTTTATAATATTAAAGCTGTTCAACATTATTGGTCACGAAGATTAGCGTGGATCTCTTTCAGGTTGTTTTGCGTCATATGACACAACGCGGTATTTCTACCATTCCGAAAAGTATCAATCCAGATAGAATACTTGAAAATTTTAACATTTTCGATTTTAAGTTAACAGAAGAAGAAATCAAGCAACTGGATGGCGTGAAGACACGTGTTCGTCTTTTTCTTTTTGATTTGTAAGTTTTATGTTATACTGCTTTATGAGGTTTTTCCTAACGTTTTACGTTTTATTTGATTTTTTTAAATCTCTCTTTTGATCTCTCTTTTACAATGTATCAATTTTGCTATTCATAACTTACAAGGATATAAAATTCCACTTAAGTTATAAATAGCAGAACTAACGAAAACCAAGGTTCAGTAAATATGGTTGCAGTAGTTATGAGTGCATTTGCAACATTTCAGGCTTTTCGATCATCCCTGGTATCCATTTAACGATGTCGACTTAACAAAGATGAAACGCGTAAATCTCAAGGACTGAAATCACTTATACTACTGTCTTGCCTTTACCAAACTTTAATCCATCAACTCATTTAATCTAAAGCTTAAGCCTTGAAGTTCTCAGAAAAACGAACTGTGTTTTATATTAGTTTAACGACTTTTTTTATTTCTCACTT